AAAAGGTCCTTGATAATCATTGCTCCTAAAGCAAAATGTGCTGTCTGCAAGGACAACCAAAAAGTCTATACTACTTTAACAAGAGAAGATGCTCATTCATTTTTACTTCACAAACACACACTGGCTCCCACATGAAGTGCTGGTGCCAGCACATGGTGGGACAAATGGACTAGCTAATGAACTGTGTATCCCCCCAAAGTTGAGAACACAAGGGGTGTCTGTTTCTATGGAAACCATAGCCTGCTAAAATCTTGCTTGAGAAATGTGATCACTTTCTGATGGTCTCACATAGCATTAGTAATACGTAGAGAGAATAAGGCTTAATTTTCTATGAGTTCTATTATTTTCAATCCTAGTTTCTCTTGTGTGGAGAACTATCACATCACTTCGACCTGATGACCCATGTCTTCAGTTAATTCTTACATCTTATAGGAAACAAGATGTGCTACCTCCTTGAAGTTCCTATAACCCCTTCTACACTCATAAAGCACTCACCTCGCTGTGTTTCAACTGCTGGTTGGTAAGTGATTTCTCCACTAAAATGTGAGTTTGCTGATTAGGTCAGGTTAGTTCAGTTCAGCAAGATTACTGAGCGCCTTTTAGGTAGTAGACCTTTTCTAAGTACTAGACCTTTAGAAAGGACTAAAAACAGACTGATTATGAGGAGCTTATATTTAGTATGAAACTCTGTGTTGATGGGTATTTTTCAAGACTGTATGGTAAGTGCAAGCTTACCATAGGATTCTCAGCTAGATCCCAGGGGCGGAAGAACTACTTCTTACACTAGCTGCTGACCAGACTCTTGAAGAGCGAGTGGGAATGAACAAACAAGGCGGGTTCTGTGGAGGTAGAGTCTTTAGTCAGAAAGGAAGTGGTGTTTTGTTGAGTGACAGTGCTGATGAGTACAGCTCACTCTTCCCAGAGGACTCAACCAAACAATTCCTTGAACTCTAAGCATGCTTCATGGGGTGCTGTTCAGAGTGAGGTCATTGGTCTTTTGTGTTATCAGTTAGTGCATTGACTCAAGAAAGCTTTTCACTTCTGAGGCTCAGGAAAGTCAACTTTCACATTTAAGAACAATTTGTACAGGTTATCCTGTAAGAATATACAGGGACTATTTTAGTATACGTGCCGAACACAACTGAAGTTATTTTAAAGCAATAAAACACTTCATAGATAGTAGTGTCTCGTGTATTAAGTATATGTCCCTTTTTTTTTTTTTTAGATAGAATCTCATTATGTGGTTCAGGCTGACCTTGACCGTATTATGTAGCCCAACTCACACCAATCGTCTTGCCTCAATCTTCCAATTATTGTGGTTATTACAGATGCGTCACCATGCCTGGGTACAAAGTACATGCTTTTAAAAATCTACTTTCCTTTATCTCCTGAAATCAGCTAAGACTTTTCTCTTCCCAATATTCTCCCTTAAAAATTAATTTCCGTGTTATACACATAATAGATGCCAGCTGGCTGTCATTTGACAAGTGGCAATATATTTGAAGATAAGACCTTATCTATGATTGAAAAAAAATATATCCCAGGAATGCAATTAACTAGTTTCTACAAAATGGAATCATGAAATCTGAGGCCTTGTTAGAATTATGTTCTTTCATTTAAAGAAAGTGTGGAATCATGAGATATTAAACTTTATGTTCCTTCTAAAAGAAAGTTCTTAGGCTTTTGGTGTCATTACTCTTTCCTCTAATGACACTACTCATTAAAATATCTTGCCTGGTATTTCTGAGTACTGTCTGATCATTCAAGAATTTGCAAAATCTTTCATTACCACACCAGTGACCTCAGGCTAATTAGACAATCTTCCAGTATAAGAACAAAGGAACAGTAACTAAATGTACTTAAAGAGGTCAACAGGTATACCACTAAAAAAACAGGAAACAGCTAATTTTTAAAAGTAATTTTTCAAAATTAGTTTGGATCAATTTTGTGCAGCAGCTATAGGAAATGAGATGTTTTATACAAATTCTACATTATTCTTTCTCCTGAAAGTTCTGGCAGTTAATTAAAATTAAAATTATGTAGTTGTATCCAAGTTCTCTAAGTTGCCATGGTTAACCAAATAGGGGAAAAAAGCAAAAGATTACTGAAAATAATTCAAACCATTTCCTGTCAGGAAAAACTTTCTCGAAAGCTCATGCTGTAAAAACCACGGCACATTTCTCAACTCTCTTTAACTTCACCTAAACAACTCCTATTACAGATGTGCATGAAATGGCTTAAATGTGGTTAAAAGTTGAGAGAAAGCAGCACCAAATATCAGAGGAGCCTAACATGACAATTTTCATGGTACTTTGCTCTAATAGTAAAAAAATAGACTGGTATTAGTTTTTCTTTCTCATTCCTGAAGACACACAAATTGTTCTTTATTTTTTTCTTCAATATTTCTGGCTTAGCAGCATAACACCGCAATTGAACAAAGATGAAAATTGTATCAATCTTCTCCTCCCTCCAAGCTAAAATCTTCACCTTTTCAGATTGTTGGGTTTGTATGTCCTATCGTTTAGGATTTACATCTGTGTGCAAACATTCACTGCATACTTATTACGTCAATCTGATAATCAGAATTCATGTTATTTAGCCACATAAATTCTACCTCTACCAGGTATCAGCAAGTGAACATCATGTAAATAATACAAATGATGAATATACATATCAGCATACACACATCTAGTTACTACTAGCCACCATAATTTGTAAATGTATACATAAATATATAGCAGTGTGCAGGGGTGCATGCCATTAATCTCAACAACTCAGCAGGCTGAAGCAGTTGTCCAATATATGTCAAACAACTTTTTCTTTTAAAAGTCTTCCTTCAGCAGATTAGTGAAAAACTATCTTTTTTTAAAATCAGTACTGGGGATCGAACTCACGACCACCTGCTTGCAAGGCAGGTTCTTATGCCACTGAACTAAATCCCCAGCCCCTGAAAAACTATCTTTTATAGTCTAAAATAAAACAGTGTATTACCAAAGAAAACATTAGGTTCTGAATCTCTGAAATAATGATGTGAAAATGAAAAAAAATGTGTTAGCTGGTTAAAGAAGCATATTGTGGAAAGGAACTGGAAAATATCATGAGATCTGGAAAAGTAATTTCATTCATTTGGACCTGATATGAAAATGTAAGTTTTATGCAGGAATGCAAGACTTCTATTCCTACAAGGCTATGTTTTGGTCAAATATAGTAAGAGACAAGTGCTTATTTTTTTCTGTGAGCAAACAAAACAAAAAGTAAATAAATATCTTAATTACTCAGATCATGAGAACAACAAACTGAAGTAAAAATATTTTCTTTCCATATCTAAGTGAGATTGGTCGCAGGACCCCTAAGGATGCCCAAATTTGCAGGTGCTCAAGTCTCACATAAAATGGCTTGTTTGCATAACCCTACACATACCTTCTCATATACCTTTCATCATCTTTATATAACAGTACTTTTGTAAAGTCTATGTTCATAGTTATTATACCATATTATTTAGGGAATAATGGTGGAAAACAAGTCCACATGTTTAGCACAGATGTAGTTTCTTTCCTGAATACTTTTGATCTAGAAATGGTTGAATCTGTGGGTGCAGTATTCATGGACAAAGACAGTTAACTGCAAGTGACCATTTATACAGAATGATCCAATTGCAAATCAGTTAAGGAACTTTTACATTTAGTGAATGTGATGACATAGGCAGCACGTGGGTAAAATACCCAACAGCATAATATACATTTTTACTAATAAATAGATCTTAGTGAAAGAAAAGGATTCCAAGCTTTCGCCATTAAATGTGATCAACTGTTTTCAGTTCAGTCTAACGTTGCAGGCAAATTTCCATTCACCAAAGTAAAATAAACCTAATATTTTAGTGGTGCTAAGAATTTGAGAGATAATGAATATGATGTAATAGAAAACCTAAGAAAGCCAGTAATTGTAAGGCATCAACTACTATATTCCTCTAAACAAATGCTTGCTTGACTCACATGCTTGAGACTGCTGACAACTTCAAAAAAGTAATTTATGAGAATCAAGCACTCTTAATTTTCTCTTGACTAGGTGTACCTTCCAAAAGGCGTAATTGTAGACAAAGTCTTTAAAAAATAAAGTTTGGGTATTTGCTTTTAAGTGATTTAATTTCTGGTCTAGATTTCAAAAACTGTGATAATGTGGAATGAGTATTATTTTCAAAGTTTTACAAACACATGCTTATTGTTGAAATTTTGGAAAATACAGAAAAGTGGAAACAAATTCTCCAGTTAGTGAAGGTTATCACTATATTTTATTTGGACTCTGTACTTCTCGTCTCCATATTACTCTGGTATCCTTAGACATTTAATACCATGAGCATTTCCTTGGACGCTTTAAGAATGTGCTGTACCATTTTATATATTGCTGTATTTAAAAAATTATCAATATTAAAAAACATCCCCAAACTACAGCTTATTACAAAGGTCCTCCTGCGTCAACGTGTGGAAGAGAATGGCAGACCCAGAAAAGGAGCGAATTAACAAGAAGACCATGCATGGAGACAAAGTACGCAGGATCTCTCAATGACAGAAAGCCACTCTGATTCCTCTATGTAGAAGTTTATATTTGCACCAAACGCAGTGGATCAGGAACCTTACGGATGGCCTTAGAAACGCTCCGATTCTCTTCAGAGACGGCGACGGGGTAAAAATACAAACCCTGTCTCTGGCTGTCGCTAACTACTGAGGCAAAGGCGAGGAGGATGGGCCGCGCCTGCTACCAAAAGCTGTTGTCGCCTTGACAACAACCTCTCAGCCTGGCGCATGCGCAGTCAAACGTCATCTACGACGCACGCGCAAAGACTACACTCTCCACTTCCGGGTTGAATATGAGCCTTTGGAGCCTCCAACAGCTCGCGCCTTCTCCCTTTTTACTAAGCCTTTCTCCTCCCATAGTCCCGCCCTCCTTTCCTGTGTTCCGGTTCCCGCCCCTCGGAGGTCCAGCGGACTGCCGCTTCCGGCCACCCATGTCCCGCCCCTTCCGCCTCGCCGGTGGCGGCGGCCCCTGTCTGAGTCTCGTCAGGGTCGGGGCGGGTTCCCTCGGCAGAATACCTGAGCTTGTAGAGCCGCGCCTTGGGGTCCGATGGCGATGAACTGCAACCCCAAGGACGAGGTGGATGGCGGGCCTCCGTGCGCCCCTGGGGGCGCCGCGAAAACGCGGAGGCCGGACAACACGGCCTTCAAGCAGCAGCGGCTGCCCGCCTGGCAGCCCATACTCACGGCGGGCACCGTGCTGCCGACGTTCTTCATCGTCGGCCTCATCTTCATCCCCATCGGCATCGGCATCTTCGTCACCTCTAACAACATCCGCGAGATCGAGGTGAGCGGCGGGCGGGGTCCCTTCCTCCCTGGGCTACAAGTGTTGCCTTTCCTCCCACCCGGGGACGGGCGGCGCCCTCTTCTCACTTCGCCTTGTGCTGCTTTCTCCCTCTGCGCGGCTTCCGTATTTGTTTTGCTTTCCTCTTACTCGCGGTTTAAATGGTTGCAAGGGGAATGAATGACGAAAAAGTGGGTGGAGAATTTAATGAAAGGGCAGTTTGTGTGGTCCTCGCTTTGAGTGCGGTTCATAGAAATGAAAAGAAACGATAGGAAAAAGTAGTTATACCCGGATGTAATTTGTGGAATGAATCCACAAGATTACCGTGTCTTTACCTGTGTGGGCCTTGTCTCGGGACACAGATGAACACGTTGGCCATGGTTCGCAGAAGTACTGATGCAGAGAAGTGTTTTACAAATTTACCAGGCATATGCTAGGACGTACGACTAAAGTGTGCACAGTGCCTTTCATTTTGAGCTACGTAGGTATTTTAGGGCATGATATAGGTTAGAATTTGCTAGAAGCCTCAGTTTGTGTTTTGCTTTCAGGCTGCGTGTGTTAATGATTGTACCCCACATTCGGTATTATTTTTTTCTTCTTGATATTTAAGTTCTTCAGGGCAGTTGACCACATATGTCACGCTATAATTTTTCATTCAGTGTTTTCATTTTCCTCCTCATCCTGCTCATGTAATCTAGAGTCCTCTAAGATCCAAAACTTTTTGGTTATGTCATGTTGGTCATTCCAAACATTTGGGAGTTCGGAGGCTTGGATTTCAGATTAGGGTTGCTCAACTGATGAAATGTATGAAAATATTTCAAAATCTGAAAACCTTTCAAATCTGAAACAATTTGCGTACACATTTGAATGCTCAATACTTATTCTTCATCCACACAAGGTTGGCATTATATCAGTACATAAGCCAAGTGGTATAATGCAAAGAGCATGCATGGACTCTAGCTCATGTGAGGCAGACTGGGTGACATTGTGACTCAGCCTTTCCCTCAGATTCTTGAGCCATTTCCCTCAGACAAATGAAGCTCAATTTCTTCGTCTTGAGTAAGTAGAATAATGTTTATCTTCTAAGATTTAGGAATTAGAAGCAGTATAGGTAAGAAATACGACCGTAAGTTAGGCAGGAAATGAGCAACAAATAGGTTGAGATTTGGCAATAAACTAATTAAAAGTGTTATAAAATTGAGACAAATTTAAGACATTAAGTTTCAGTTTTAAGCTTTCATATTGCACTAAGAACCTTACTGCAGTGTTAATAAAGAAGAAAATGATTTAACATTAGAAATTTGAACTACTTTATTTGAAGTTTGTTTTTTGTTTGTTTGTTTTTGAGACAGGGTCTCACAGGCTGGCCTTGTGTTCACTATGTATCCCAGGCTGGCCTGGAACTCTGGGCTAGAATTTGTGATCCTCCTGCCTCAACTTCCCAAGTGCTGGGATTACAGGTGTGTGCCACCACACCTGGCCAAAGTTTTTAGAAGTTAAGATAAAAGTAGCAATAATTTGGAATGTTATGTGAGTATTTATTGAATTATGTGAAAACTTACACTACTTACCAAGTATAGTATAGAAATAAATATTTAACTTTTTTGAAACCGTTTGGGTTCTGAAGTAATGTTCTTTATACCAATTACTTGAGAAATGGACATTTCTTAAACAGTTCTCATGCATAAGCCTAAAACACTGCATGTACACCGTGTGTGCCTGTTGAAGATGTAAATCAAAATGTTTAGCTTGCAATGCAGAGATCCAGTTTTAGAGTAAAACCAATGGACCTTTCACATTCTCCCAAAAATGCTTGAAAATTTCTACGCTTAATGAAGTGCTTTGAGCTCTCTTGAAATATGTATAAAACAAACAAACAAAAAGGTCCTTTTTATTTTAATGTTTATAGTCAGTAACATTTTGCGTCCCTTATTAGGTTTATATATTTTATTTGATTGGTTTTTAGATTTTAAAAATTAAAATGAAGCTTTTAAAAAACTACCCTTGTTAATTTTATCATTCATGAGAAAATATTTTTAAATATTTAAATCTTCATTTAATACTAGGATTTAATATTTTCATTTATTATTGATAGAACTGTGGGGGACCGGTGGTGGCTGAAAAGATAAGAAGTATGAAATATAAATGACCTTTATTTTGCGAATGTGGGGAGAGACACCCCCATCCCCTGGGTTCCAGTGGAACACGTGGAGTGGAGGCATATATGTAGCTTAGGTTTGGGGTGGAGCCTGAGGGGGCATTAGGGATGCACAGGTAGCCCATTGGTATTCTTTTGGCCCCATAGGTAAATTCCTAGTGTTATACTAAGATGCTGAAGAATTAAAATAATTGATTAAAAGATAATTAGCAAAAATAGTTACTTAAAAGGATAGTTATTAGCAATATTGTCATTCTGTACTGAGCTCGTTACCCTAGTAACCAAGCACCAACCACATAGTTATAAATTAACTGACCGCTTCGTTATGCTGTTCTGTAATGCGTCATTCCCCCCCACCTTAGTAACCTGTGTGCTATGTCAACTTTTGTTCCCCTTGTAGGAGACAAATGATGCTGTGTCAACTATTGTTCCCTTTATGAGAGATAAATGTTCCTGGAATTGGCAGACCAGGGACTATGAGTTGGCTAACCATCCACTGTGAAATGCCTCTGAGCATTTCCTCTAAGCAAAAGGGAACAAAGGCTCACCTTATTTCTGTTTCTTATCACTACGTGCTTAATGATCAATGAGCTAATCATAAATGAACTATAAAAATCAGTCAAAATTCTAACTCAGTTGCACAGCTTTGCAAATTCCATCTGCACTGTGTCTATGGGCCAGCTAAAATAAAAGCGCTTCTTCCTAAAAACGACATCGTTTAGTCCCATCCCCCATATTTTCCATCTCAGGGGTTTTGCCCCATTTTTCATCTCAGGGGCTTTTTGGGGAAGTACAACACCTAGGGGTGGGGAAAATACAGTCACAGGTAAATTCCTAGGGGTGGGGAGATGGAGCTCCTTTGTTCCGCCTGAGGCTTTACAGGCTACAGAGTCCTGTCTGGGCCAAAACTCTGAATTATTGGTTGTAAGAGGTGAATATTCTTTTAATTTAGCAACTGCAGGAATCAAATATTTGTTTCAAGGTAATGATTTTCTAGTATAGGGACCTTGATGAGGCCAAAGTATAGAGCTAACTTTTGCAAAGTATTTACCAGAGTAAAGTTACATGTTTTTAGATTAATGTTTAGGAAGCTGGGCAGCATGTTGTGCACCTATATAGTCCCAGTTACTTGAGTAGGCTGAGGCAGGAGCATCCACTGAGTGCTGGAGTTCAAAGCCAGGTTGGGCAACATCATGAAACCACGTCTCAAAATTAAATAACCTAATGATAAGAGTCAGATGAAGGTGTTATTGACAGTAATGTCCTTATTTAGAAACTAAATATTTACTTCAGTGTTTCACAAGATAGGTCTTCTTGAAATCTTCGTGAATTAATTTCACTTTGCTGTTTGACAGGCTAACACCCAACTGTCCTCTTCTTCACATTATCATTTCATTTATTGCCCTTAGTTATTTAATCTTGATTATTTTGTTTCCCTAGCTCCTGATAAAAATATATTTTTATATTTTTACATCTGTGTTATTTGAATTCTTTGTAAAATTTTAAAGTTTAAATTTCTTATCTTCATTTAGTAATCTTTGTTTATACTTAGTTTTCAGCTAGGAGTCAAGAAAGGACAAGTTGCATTTTAAAAATAATTGTTAAAAATTAGGCATTTTATTTTGTTTTGTTCTGTATTATTTGGTGGTACTGGGAATTGAGCCCAGGGATTTCCCATGGAGCTACATCTCCAGCACAGTTTTTAATTCTTTGAGTCAGGGTCCTGCTAAATAGCCAAGTTGTCCAGGATGGGCTTAAATTTGTGATCCTCCTGCCTCCATCTCCCAGAGATCTGTTGTTATAGGAATGGGCCACTAGCTCAGCTGAGATTAGGCATTTTATGTTATGTTTGAAGATTTTAATATTCAGATTGATTTAGATATTAAAAAGTGGACCCTTGATTAAGAAGTTTTGGCATTAGTGTTTTTTTCAGATAATGGTAGTACTTAGAGCTAGGGACGGTGTGGCCAGTGTGGCCTCCTTGAGTGTTTTGTGTGTCCCAGGACCTGAGAGTAGTTTGCACATGCTCCTTTGCAATCAGTTTGGATAAGGAAGGTCATCAAGTATGCTGAGGTTGTCCCTTTCTCGAAATTGCATTCTTTTCATTAGTAGACTGTACTAGCAAAAATTATATATAACTATTATTATATTTTGGATTTCATCAATAAAACAACATAGATTGTTCTTTCTTGTTACATAAGCACTTACCTAAAATCCTTGACCTTCTTAGTTTGCAAGGCCTAAAGTATTTATTTTCTGGCACTTTATAGAAAAGAAATGCCTTTAATTTAGAGCTTTCAAGAAGCATCCTGGCATATATACAATTTGCTACAAAGATAATGTGATAGCTTGGACCCCAGAATAAAATCCAAGGAAGCTTCTTGCTTAAAATTTGGGGAGCAAAGGTTTTATTTTAGGCCACGCCTGGCAACACAGCCTCCAGGAGCCAATATGGAGACTGCATGCCTTACAGCTAAGAGAGTTGGGTTTTAAGGCTGAAAACCACAGGAATGTTGTGAACTTTGACCCAATTTGATAACTTCCTTGTAGTTAAAAGGTTTCTTAAGGACAGCACATTATATTGCAGATAGGCTGAAGGGAGTGGAGGGGGATTACAAGAAACTGAAACTTAAAGCTTTTGTGGGAAATGGAGACTTAACCTAAAAAGAATGGGGAGGGGAGGGGGATTTATAAGGAGCTGAAACTTAAGTCTTTACTGGAGATGGAATTTTAATCTCTATTGAAACGGCGCATACAGAACAGAAAGGAGGCACATTGGTTAGAACTAGGTTACAACAGTCCCCTCTGATGTTGTGATTTCCAGTTAATTTATCATTTATGTGGG